TTTCATCTATTCATTCATTCATCAGACAGATGAATGAGTGAATAGAAATATCAGCCGAACAAACAAACAAACACAATGTATCAGTGTTTGTTTGTTCGTGCAGTTTATTACAAGGAGGGAGCTACCGGCGTGCAGCTTCCTCCTTGTAATATGTAACTATAGAAGCGGCAGGGAGCAGTGCTCCCCACCACTCCATAAGCCCCCCCAGGTCCCCCTCTCACTCTCTCAATATGACCCCCATAATAGCACAAGGGAGATAAAAATCTCCCAAATGCCCCTACTCGCTATACCGCGAGTAGGGGCATGTCCACTAAACAGTGAGCAGCCTGTGGCTGCTCACTGTAAAAAAACAACAACAAAAAAAAACAACAATTGGCCCCCACCCCTAAACAGTGAGAATGAGGGGGGGGGGGGCAGTACTCCCCCCACCCCTGGGCGGCGGGTGGGGGCCATAATGAGAATGGGGGGGACCTACTGCCCCCCCCGGCCCCCACCCCTGGGCGGCGGGTGGGGGCCATAATGAGAATGGGGGGGGGACCTACTGCCCCCCCCGGCCCCCACCCCTGGGCGGCGGGTGGGGGCCATAGTGAGAATGAGGGGGGGCAGTACTCCTCACCCCTGGGCAGCGGGAGGGGCCATAGTGAGAAGGAGGGGGGGGACCTATCGCCCCCACCCCTGGGCGGCGGGTGGGGGCCATAATGAGAATGGGGGGGACCTACTGCCCCCCCCGCCCCCACCCCTGGGCGGCGGGTGGGGGCCATAATGAGAATGGGGGGGGGACCTACTGCCCCCCCCAGCCCCCACCACTGGGCGGCGGGTGGGGGCCATGAAGATAATGAGGGGGGGACACCTACTATCCTCCCCCCCGGCCCCCACCCCTGGGCGGCGGGTGGGGGCCCTAAGTCAATTAACCCCCCCCCCCAAGGTGACTAGGGGTCCCCAAGCCCCTAGTCACCCACCCCCCACCCAAAAAATAGTGAGGGGGGGATAAAATAACTAACCTGTAAAATAAAATTAAACTTACCATTCGACGTCTTCTTTTTTCTCAAATCTTCTTTTTTCAGCCCCAAAAAAGGCCAAATAAAAAAACCATCATAACCGTCGAATTGAAAATAAAATAAAAATCCTGAGCGCAAAAAAAAAAACCAGACGGAAAAAAAAAAACCAGAGCGCAAAAAAATAATCCATCTTCACCCATGGAGGGCTCCGCGCAGACTGAGCTCCGCAGAGCGGGGGAAGGCTTATAAAGTCGTCGTCCCCCTCATTATTGCCCCCACCCGCCGCCCAGGGGTGGGGGCCGGGGGGGGGCAGTAGGTCATTTGGTCTCCCCCCTTATTTTCCTTTAGGGCCCCCACCCGTCGTTTAGGGGTGGGGGCCAATAGTTTTTTTTACAGTGAGCAGCTGCTCACTGTTTACCAGACATGCCCCTACTCGCAGTATAGCGAGTAGGGGCATATTACTTACTAATACTAAGTAATTTTTACTTGGTATTAGTAAAGTTGGCTGAAAGACCAATTTAGGTCTTTCAGCCTTTTAGTAGATAGCTCCCTGATACCGTGGGAATTAGGGAGTTATTTAATAAGCAGCTGCAAGATGCAGCCACAGCAAGAATAGGATCGGATTTTCATTCATTCGAATGAAATTCTGATCCGAATAAAGTGCCGAATTGCATTCTAAAAGAAACGAACATACTGTTCTCATTCAGTTAGAACGCAATTCGGCAGTTTCGGCTAAAATGACAGGAAGCATCACGGGAACACAGAGGAAAGGTAAGAATTATGGGAAAATTGCTCTGACCAGCGGAAATGAAGCACACTCCTCCGCTGGTCAGAGCTGGTCAAGCGGAGGAATCCCCCATAAGGCAAAGAGTCCCTACTTTGTCTTATGATTTTAAAGAAAACTAAAGAAGACAGGAAGAAAAGAATAACAGATCCTGAGAGAGGAGGAGAAGAGGAAGAGATTGAGGAAAGGTAAGTTCGGCATGACAGTGCCGCTTTAACAGACTGGAGGTTAGAGAAGAATAGAATAACAGGGGTTAGGGAATTCCATAGGAATGCGCCAGCCCATAAAAACTGAGAGTTAGCAATGTGGAAACAAGTAGAAAGACGCTCTGTAAATTAGTGTCACCAGTTTAAATTAATAGCCAATATAATTATAATGTAAAGAGTTGAGGTGTTGGATTAGCAGTCAGTCTAAAAGATAAGAGTTCTCTACCTCTTGTTACTTACTGCACTTTTGGACTCTAGATGTACTGCACTATTGGTTGCTTTCTGCCTCTTCTCTGTTTCATATATACGAACTAACACCCTGAGACGTATCCCCTCCCATTGAAGAGAATACGTCTTATCAAGTTTCCCTGATTATCTACTGCTGCTCTGGCAAGACCTCCTACCCTTCCTAAGACTATTTTATTCGTATTGGCGCAGCCCTAGTCCATCTTTTTTGTGTTGTATTTGATCCATTGAAGGACTTGAGGGGTTTCCTTCGCTTGGGTTGCTGCCCATTCTGCATATATTGTGTGTTGATTAGCGCTGAATTCCTGCTGTATTCTGTGAGTCAAAAAGATAAGCCTGGTGGCAGAATTCAATACAAACTGAATAGCGGTAGTGTGGTTATTTGGAACACCCTTGAGTAGTCAGTCACAACAGTAAGGTTGGGAAATGATAATCACAAGTGCCTTTGTTGTATCCTTAGAAAAGAGTGAATGCAGGCAATATTTGTTAGTTGAAGGCTAAAGGCTTTGAAGACAGTCTGATTTTGAATACAAAAAGATCACATTTTAAAGTAATTCAAAGCAGTGAGCTTGAGGGGTTAAGGTAGTCAGTGAGACATATGGAGGTGGATAGAATTAGTTTTAGAAAATGGGAAGACTTTTTTTTTTAATTACAGGTCTATACTTCCTGCCAATGTATGCACAAAATGCTACTGCTTTGTTTGCAGGCAGTACGCCGCTGCATCAAGAAAACCAAGAATTATATATGCAGTGTGAATAAGAAGCTTACAGAAATGTTGAAAGATGCAGAGTTATCTAATCTTGCAACACCAAAGAGGCTGACCATTCCCTTTGCATTACACAAATTAATGATCTAAAATGTCAACTAATGAAGAGAAACTATTCTACTGCTACAAAACATGGGGTGGACACTAATTGTGGAGATCTGTGTGCAATGAACTTGGAGTTATTTAATAATAATGAAAGAGATATTAAGTGCAGTATTCCTGCAAAAATGGTCCCAGTCTCTACAGAGCACAAGGACATGTACTATATGAAACTAATGTGACCAGGGCATTAAATAGTACTCCAATTGTTGCACTTGGCAAACAACCGTGATGTACAAACTTGGACGATGATCTATTAGATGTAATATTACGAAAAAATTAAGGGATTGGATGATGTTGATGTAGTAATTAGCAGTATAGACACTCAGAATGCCTGCTACCTCCGGTGTTTGTGAAACCAAGAACCAAGCGACCACTTATCAAAGAATTATTAAAAGTTCCTGGTCTGGAGAAAATAATCATTATTCTGCTTTTAGCAACTGTGCTCAAAAGAAAAGGGAATCTTTGCAAGGGTATACAGAAAGAATATTTGCTGTTTATAGGCGGACCGTTACACCTAGAACACATCCTGGTCAGCATTAAGCAGTAGGAAACTGTCAGGTATACAAGGATTAATTGGTTTAACAGTGTCCCCACAGAATATTTATAAAAAATACTGAATTGCTTAAAGATAGTGGTAATTCTACAAAATCAACAAAAAAATAACTAAAAGGCAACTAAAATAACTAAAAGGCAACTGTTATTAATCCAAAGTTCCAAACCTCCCACGTGGAACACTGTCTGTGAGCAGTGGATGCTACAGGCAGAGATATAAGTGGGTCTTTGAACTCTTAAGCGTTAAAGTGGGATTCGGAAAATGCCATTTGTCTCACCACTATTGAGAGTAATCTGTTTAAGTTTTTAAATGCTGGTTATGCTGCAATAAAGAATTTATTCACCTCAAGATATACAGTGGATATTGCTGAGTGTAAGGGGAGGCATCACCCCTTTAAGAACATGCTGTCTTTATGTGTGGAGTGGGATTCACTTCACTACATTTTTGTGCAGCTATTTTTTTTTTTTACAGTCACTTTGAGCACCTTTTTTCCATTTTCTTTTTCTTATTTAAAGTCATATTACCCTATTTTGGGAAAAGTGAAATAGGCTAAAAGCTAGTCCAGAAAAGCTATCTTATATGTGAGTGAGATTCTTATCAATCCTCCCTCACATGGTGTATTAAATATACTACAATATATGCTGGTTTCTCTTTCCTTCTATATGCATACAAAATGAGGAATCATTCACAGAGGAAGGTTTTGCATTAAAAAGTAGGGCCATCTTTAAAGGATGTATTCCTAATGCTATGGTGTTCCCCTACATATGTAGCTGCTCCCCCTGCGTGGGTTTAAAAGGTTCATTTTTTCAAGAGTGATGATCTTGCAAAACGCTGCACCACTCAAATGCTCTCTAGGAGATTAATTTGCGCCATAACCAAGTTTAACTTGGTTATAGCTGTGGAAACGTCGCTAGTAGCTGTTTTCCTTGAGATGTGGTCTGGGTGCCTATAAAGATAAGGCCTACTGGAAATATAGGCATTTTAGTGTCTTTCCTTCATCTGGTCATGTGAGTGGAGGCAGTGTAAGAAGACAAAGTATGCAGGACAGAGGGAACCAAAGCACACAAAAGTATAATTTACTAAACAAAATCTAAATGTATTATAGTACGTTGTGTATAAGGCCTATGGATTAATACAATGTTTATATTTATGACAAAACTTTACTTATACAGTAATAGACATGTGCAATTTGTTTCGTTACGAATGCAAATTCGGACATTCGGATGCTTCCGTATGTCCGAAGTGCCGAATTTCCAAACGCTGAACCGAACCAAACTGACGAAGTGGCGAATTTCGGAATGCCGAACCGAACAGCCGAATTTCGAAGTGTCAAAGTACTTTGGATTTCTGAAAAGTGGCAAAACAGGAGAGGGTTGGGGTAGGGTTAGTGGTTGGGGTAGAGGTAGGATTAGGTTTAGGGGTAGGGTTACAGTTAAGGGTTAGGGTAGTGTTAGTGGTTGGAGTAGGGTAAGGGGTAGGGTTAGTGGATGGAGTAGGGTTAGGGGTAGGGTTAGTGGTTGGAGTAGGGTTAGGGGTAGGGTATCCATAACCCTACCCTAAGCCTACCTCTAACCCTACCCCTAAACTACACCTAAACCAACCCTAACCCTACCCCTATCCCTACCTCTAACCCTACCCTTACCCGAAGTCCTGAAGTTCCGAAGTTCCAAAGTGTCAAAGTCCTGAAGTTCTAAAGTGCCGAAGTGCCGAAGTTCCAAAGTGCCGAAGTCCCGAATTTCGGAATGCTGAACCGAATATTTTTCCCATGCACATCCCTATAAAGTAACCTAATTTAACAAACAATATCACTATACTATATTATGTTTTTCCATACACTTGTCTGTGTGCTTTCTTTGTACACAGAAATAACCTTGTAAGAGGGACATAATTTATTACAATATTACTAAAGTGAGACTTGTCAAGAATTCTGGTGAATTAAAAAAGAATTTTAACATTTAGCTCAAAATAGCTCAATTGTACTTTGTATTCTGATCTATGATGGTTATTCATTAAAGTGAGAATGGCTTAAAGGAACACTATAGGGTCAGGAACACAAACATGTATTCCTGACCCTAAAGTGTTAAAACCACAATCTAGCCCCCCTGGGCCCCTCATGTCTCCATAAATATAGCAAAATTTTACTTGTATTCAAGATTGAAGCTGTAGCTCCGCATGCTGATTGCCTCCGAAAAACGAGCAGTCTGCTGACATCATCAGAAGTGGTGGCCTGATCCAATCAAAATGCTTCTCCATAGAATTGGCTGAGACTGACAAGGAGGCAGATCAGGGGCAGAGCTAGCACAATTCAAACACAGCCCTGGTCAATCAGCATCTCCTCATAAAGATGAATTGAATCAATGAGTCTCTATAAGGAAAGTGCAGTGTCTGCATGAAGAGGGAGGAGACACTGAATGTTTGGATGCATTTTAGGCAGCCATGATCCAGGAAGGATCTCTAACAGCCATCTGAGGAGTGGCCAGTGAAGTTATCACTAGGCTATAAGGTAAACACTGCATTTTCTATGAAAAGACAGTGTTTACAGCAAAAAGCCTGAAGATAATAAATCTACCCACCAGAACAAATTCAATAAGCTGTAGTTGTTCTGATGACTATAGTGTCCCTTTAATTCAAAGTAAATTCAAAAGTAAGGGCAAAGTTACCAAACTGAACACAGACTTTCACAAACTGCTATTCTGGCCTAAAAAAATGTAAAAATTTTTTATATGCAGCAAATGTTCAGTAAATGTTCTTATATAAGTAATATAAAGTAAAAAGGAAAATCTGGGGACATTTTTAAGACTGCATTAGGTGATATTTTCATTCTACATTTAAACATATCATAGACTGTTGTTGAAAATATGGCTATTTTTCTCCCCTCAAATAATTGTAGTCTGACACAAATACTGCCACAAGTTATTCATGCTGTACATTAGCTCTTACCTTGAATAGCTGGACCCCATGCAAATAAAAAGTACCAGCTCAAGTGCAAATCCACAATAGTGTCCTCTCTGGGTACATACACAGGACGTTTGAATCTGCAAGTTACACGGTTGTTTTCAAAAATCCCTTCCTCATCCCTGGCTGGATTCCTCTGAATCTCTTTAGCCCATTGGCCAACATTATAGAAGTGCTGAATCCGAACCCTTCCATTGTCATCATGCACACAGGCCATGACATCATCCCCTCCCTGAAAAGACAACAAATCAGTAACATACTAAATGCCAATACAGTACTCTCATAGTCTCCTCTCTCAGCCTCATTCTGCCTATTTCACACTTTACATAGAGGTTAATGTACGCTATAGAAGCCATTTGTCAAATAGGATTCATTAAAAAAAATACATATTTTATTCTGAAAGATGCTATGGATTATGTCATTAAGTGAGGGAATCATATATTGCATGTTAATGAAATAGAATTACGTTACATTTTGAGAAGAATCAGATAGACTAAAACAATATCAAGTACAGAATTTATCTACGTTTACCATTTTTTTATCGGAGGAGAAGCCAACAGCTACCCAGCCATCTGTGTCAGCACTCAGCTCAAATTCCACATCTGCACCTATTCTTCGATAACTCAGAAAATAATCACATGTTTCTGCATTACATCCAGGTTTGCCATATCTGAAATATTATTGCACAAAGACTGATGTAAACAAGTTGCATCTCAGTGAGCAATCATCAAACACATTTTAAATTGTTAATAAAGACTTCATCTCAATTAAGTAGTATGGGTCTCCTGCCACTAGAGGCACATCTACATTAATGAGAAAATTTGACTCAGTTATTTGACGTTTGATGTCCATGAGGAAGTTGAACGTCATAAAATGCAGCTCGCTACCCCACGTAGCACCAAGTTTATCTTGGCACTAAAAAACAGTAAGTAAAATATATGCAGAATATAAATATTATATTTTTCAGTACACTGATAGGTGTATTTTCCCACCATTTGCTTCACAGATCAAGTGAGAAAAAGTAACCAATAGAGGGAAAAAGAGGGGAAGCAGGAATTTTATATATATATATATATATATATATATATATTACAGCTGGAATCCAAATGATTCAATCACCACTGAAAATCTGGTTTATTGTCAAAATTTACAAACTTTCAGCAATTTGCAATGAACAAATCAAAGAAAAGACAGGGATATAGGGTATGCCAAAGGGTAAGAGATAGAGGTCAAATTAGACAATATAACGATTTTTTTTTACTTATTTTAATATTATTTGATTTTATAGGTTCCCATATACTATACAGTTTATCTTTTATTTTAACAATAGCGTTTTTGGTCATGATCGCAACCATGTGACTAAGACGTCATTTACCCGCAAAATTCAAAATTATCATGTTTACACCATATAAAAGACTGCGATTTCCAGTTATATGTTTGATAATCACTTGAAAAAGCTGTATTTTGGGAGAAACGCGTTGTGGATTGTTTTTACTTTGTATTAATAAAGGTTTATTGGCTACTTTATTCTGGTATTGTGCCATACACCTTTTTCTTTGCTTTTATTATTTTTATTACCTGGCATCCTGTTTTACTTCTCCAGTGAGGTTCCCGCATTTGAAGAAACAATGTAAGGCACAGTGGAAAGTAAAAACAATAAGAATTAAACCAGTCGGAGACCTCTATCCTAACTATGGCAAACTACGGCTCGGACGCCTTGATACCACCCTGTAGAGGCCAAATGCTTAGTGAGGATATTCAAAAAAGAAAACAAGAACACAAATAAAATTAAAGTCACAAAACTGGCTAGAACGTTAAAGGATCACTATAGGGTCAGGAACACAAACATGTATTCCTGACCCTATAGTATTAAAACCACCATCTAGCCCCATGGTCCCCTCATGCCTCCATAAATATAGCAAAATCTTATGGATTCAAGCCTGAAGCTGTAGATCTGCATGCTGTTTGCCTAAAAAAAAACAAAGCATGCAGTCTGCTGACATCATCAGAAGTGGTAGCCTGATCCAATCACAATGCTTCCCCATAGGATTGGCTGAGACTGACAAGGAGGCTGATCAGGGGCAGAGCCAGCACAATTCAAACACAGCCCTGGCCAATCAGCATCTCCTCATAGAGATGAATTGAATCAATGAATCTCTATGAGGAAAGTTCAGTGTCTGCATGCAGAGGGAGGAGATACTGAATGTTTGGATGCATTTTAGGCAGCCATGACCCAGGAAGGATCTCTAACAGCCATCTGAGGAGTGGCCAGGATGTGACTTAAAGTCCAAGGGTGCCTTGTCTTGGAGGCTTTTCATAAGCCGTTGTTTACCGGACCATGTTTGAGGTCTGTGACATTCTCCTCTATGGCTTAGACATGGTCTGTGAGCACTTGGACTTCAGTCTTCACCATGTTTATGTCAGAATCAAATAGCTTTCTTATGTTATTGTACAAATTGGTGATGTCTTCTTTGGTGGCAGGTTCAGACCTTTGAGCTCCATTGGTGGTATTTGCAGCAGGCAGTCTGGTACTCGGTCCTGCATGTTGGGGCCCTGAGTCTTCGTCCGACATATTAGTGGGGGCAGCCATTTCAGCTAAGTCCGTCTTCCGAGACCTTGGTGTGCATTTTAGCAGTTTGGCTATGTCTCTGGTGGTAGGGCTGCTTGCGGTTAGTGACTCACTTCAGCAGGTGGGTATGAGTGTGTCCCCAGTTTGCGAGGGATCCCACGTGCCTTGCAGCAGCCTGCAGACTTCTAGGCCCAACACGCTGTCGTACTTTGCGTGGCCATTTTGCTTGCGACCTGCAGAAGACCGGCATCAGGGAGCACCCCTGTAATTACCCAGCCGTAGACAGTGAGTTTGAGTCAGTTTGAATGGATCCGCTATTGTGAAATCCCAATTTAATAGTTTGGGACTGAGAGCTGCTGGAAATGGCGTCCGAGCTGCAGCGGTGTCAGGCCCCGCCCCACCGTTTTATTGTTTTTTTTATATGCTCTATTTATCTTGTTTTTTTTTTCACTTAGAGTATTGTACGCAGTAGTGGAGACCATATCTCCAGAAAGATATTGATACTTTGGAGAGAGTTCAGAGAAGGGCTACTAAACTGGTTCATGGATTACAGGATAAAACTTACAAGGAAAGGTTAAAGGATCTTAACATGTATAGCTTGGAGGAAAGACGAGACGGGGGGGATATGATAGAAACATTTAAATACATAAAGGGAATCAACACAGTAATGGAGGAGACTATATTTAAAAGAAGAAAAACTACTACAACAAGAGGACATAATCTTAAATTAGAGGGGCAAAGGTTTAAAAACAATATCAGGAAGTATTACGTTACTGAGAGGGTAGTGGATGCATGGAACAGCCTTCCAGCTGAAGTGGTAGAGGTTAACACAGTGAAGGACTTTAAGCATGCGTGGGATAGGCATAAGGCTATTTTAGCTAAAGAGAAGGCCAGGGACTAATGAAAGTATTTTTAGAAAATTAGGCAGACTAGATGGGCCGAATGGTCCTTATCTGCCTTCACATTCTATGTTTCTATGTTTGATTTTATAAATGTTTCTTTGCCTGTGATTGTCATATCTATATATTGTCTAATTTGACCTCTAACTCTTACCCGTTTGTGCACCCTGTATCCCTGTCTTTTTAACATTATTTAAGGGTTTCTGGAGAGAATTTCCCTTTTTAGGTGTGCTGCCTTCT